CCCAGGGAAGCCGAGCTACTTTTTAAATATTTAAAAAATATTTTATTTATTATTTTTATGTGTATTGCCAGCATGTAAATGAGTTCACCCCTGTCATGTAATGCCTCGGAGGTCAGAAGAGGGCTGGAGAGTTAAGAACGGTTAGTAGCTGCCACGTGGGTGCTGGGAATCTAACCCCGGTCCTCTGCAAGAGCAATCAGTGTTCTTAAACCACTGAACCATCTCTCCAGCCCCACTTTTTAAAATTTATGGGTGTTTTTTAAAATTTTATTATTTTTATCTTATGTGTATGTGTGTATTGCCTGCATGTAGGTATGTGCACCCATGTCCTGCAATGCCTGCTGAGGTGAGAAGAGGCTGTCGGATCCCCTGGGACTGGAGTTACAGACAGTTGTTAGCTGCCTTGTGGGTGCCGGGATTCGAACTCGGGTCTTCTGCAAGAATAACCGGTGTTCTTAACCGCTGTGCCATCTCTCCAGCCCCTATTTATGTTTTTTTTTTGAGACAGGGTCTCCTTATAGCCCCAGCTGGTCTGGAACTCATTGTGTAGAACAGGCTGGCATAGATCTAACAGAGATCTGCCTTGAAACCCACTATATTTTACTTTTCATTTATTTATGTATATCTACATTTGTGTTGGTGTATGCATGTGCAGATGTGGAGGATGAGGAGAATATAACTGTTCTAGCATGTGGGTGCTGGGTTGAACACAGGTCATCAGACTTGGCTGCAAGTACCTTAACCTTCTGACCCATCTGGCCAGCTCCATGAGGTCTTTGTTTTGAATTTTGAGACAGTTTGGCTATATTGGCTAGGCTGGGTTGGAATTGGCCAGTTGCCCTCCTAACTTCGGCTCCTAAGTGCTGATTACACTCATGTGCTACCATGTTCTGTTGTTTTATGTTTGTGTTTGTTTTTAATTTGAGACAAGATCTTATTCAGTAGAGCAAGGAAGGCTTGAACTCCTAGGATGTCTCCTGCCTCAATCTCCCTTGTGGTAGGACGTGTTACTACCACTCTGAGATCTGAACGCTCAGTTCTGCCCCTCTTTGGAAAATAGGGCCATGAACATAAACATAGTGGGCTCCTTGATTACTTAGCAGTTCCAGTCCTTGTATTGTGTTCTGCACATGGTAGAATTCTGAGAAGGCTTGCATGTTATTAGGTGGGTATTAGGCTGCTACTTCCACCTAATACCCACCTCCTCCTTTGTCCTCTATCTTGCACCTCCCTGCAAGTGCTACAGGGAAGTGCCTCAATGCCACATTGCCCATGCTGGCTTTAAACTCAATCTTTCTCTCTCCTTCCTAGTGCTAGAATTACGGGTCCCACATGTCGTTCAATTATAGCTTTCTGATAAAGAGACATTCAGTTGGTAGTCGAATGATGGTCTAGGGAAACATTTGTGTGTCAAGAAGCAAACAAGGGTCATAGGTTGTGTATTGAAAGAAAGCTCTTATAGGAATGTGTAATCCTTTAGAAGAGATAATGCTAAATGTCCATTAAATTAAAAAGATTTAAGACATTGATGAATCTTGGGCAGTTGCAATGTAGTGATGGGAATAGAATTTTCATATTGTGGGATTGTAGAATTTATTAAAGGCGCACTTAGATTGGACCTAGGCTAAGTGCTCCAGGACTTGAGCTTCTCATATAGCTTGAGGGCAGGAGCCTGGAGGGAAAGATGTATAGCTTCAGAAAACTCAGGTATTTCTGTTAGGAAAGTTGCATATTATCACCAATCAATTGCTGATGCTGAGTAAATGCTGTTTTGTAGAGCTCATCTTAAAACTGGTTGGAAACTAGGACTGTAGGGGCAATGTGGAAAAGCTGAACCTTCCAAGGTACTTTGTAGGAATATGAGTTTAGCAGTTTTCTGACCTTCAGGATGGAATTTCAAGGTCTTTTAACCCTAGGGGAGAATTCCAGAGGGGAATGACTTGAAAGAGACCAAAGAGTGTGGAAGGGAAGGGAACTCTAGTGGAAAACAAGACAAAACTCATGAAATCTTGAGGAAAATTTAAACTATATCTTAATGGAAAATGGTCTTCAAGGTTTGCAGGTATTGCATAACATGAGGAGACACACTTCGGCCTGGAAAACATTGAATGGGTAGTCTGGTATGCTGCCACAACTCTTTAATCCCAGCATCCAGGAGGGCAGGAGCTCTGGGTTTTGAGTCCAGTCTGGGTTACATAATGAGACCATGTTTGAATCAACAAAATCAGGACCCTGCCCTCTATCACAATGTGACCTAAGTTATAACCTGCCCTTAACTAAGTTTTGTTTTTCTTTTTCTCTGTTTTGATGAATCTCCATGTTGGGTGGCCTAACTTCACAATGGCATTAGTTCACACAAACCTAGATTGGTTTTTAAAAGTATTTATCATTTTTCTAAATTTTATGTGTGAGTGTAATGCCTGCATGTCTGTTAGTGTACCCATGTCATGCAATGCCTCTGGAGCTCAGAATAGGGCATCTGAACAGTTGTTAGCCACCAGCTAGATACTGGGAATGGAACCCAGGTCTTGTGCAAGAACAGTCAGTGCTCTTAACTGCTGAGCCATAATCCCTCAAGCTCCACAAACCCACATTCTTTTTTAAAAAGTATTTTTATTATTTTATGTGAATGTGTGTATTGCCTACATGTGTGTGAGTGAACCCATGTTCTGTAATGCCTACAGAGGTCAGGAAAGGCTGTTGGATCCTCTGTTGTTAGCTACCAAGTGGGTTCTGGAATTTGAACCCAGGTCTTCTGCAAGAACAGCTAATGTTCTTCACCGCTAAGCCATCCCTCCAGCTCTCCAGCCCCACAAACCCACACTCTTTTTTTTTTTTTTTTTGTCTTTTTGAGACAGGGTCTCCCTGTAGCCCCAGCTAGTCTCTAACTCACTTTGTAGACCTGGCTGGCCTCACGCACAGGCCTGCCTCTGCCTCCCAAGCGCTGGGATTCTAGGCTCATATGCCACCACATCCGGCTCAAACCTACATTTTAAAAAATATGAAGGGTTGTATATGTGGTCCAGTGCTTACATAACATACATAGGACCCTGGGTTTCACCGACAAACTTGTGTTTGAAACAAGCACTCAAGGATGAACGAACAGTGCTGGGAGTTTTGCAGTTGGACCACTGGCCAGATAAGCCTGGCTCATTATTTGTTTCCATGTAGCACCAGCTGGCCCATAAATCACCATCAAGACCAGGCTGACCTTGATCTCACTGCCTTTGTGTCCTGAATGCTGGAATTAAGAGCATTCTACATTTTGATTTGTCATAGAGAGCTGATTTATTTATTTCTGGACCTTTTTGAGACAGGCTCTCCCCACAGCTCTAGCAGGCCTTAATTCACCATGTAGACCTGGTGGACCTCAATTTGGAAGAGATCTACCTGCATCTGCCCTCCCATCGTTTATGTATTTGTGTACATATGCTAATGTGTATGTGCAGAGGTCAGAGGACAGCTTGTCTGGACAGCTCCTCCTACTACTCTGTGATTAAAATGAAAAGGGATGATAATATTGTGTCCAGTTAATAAATCTCTGCAGAGAATGGCTGCCGTGCATTGCACAGTGGAAGGTTACTGTGCCTCCATATACTTACAGAGGTCAGAGGATAACTACATGGATCAAGGAATGGAACAGAGGTCAACAATCTTATGTTGCAAGCCCATAACACACTGAGACATCGCACAGGCCCTTAGTTGTTGAACATTCTTGAGTTTAGTGTGCTAACTTATGAATCTCGGTGTATTAAAGATTATTAACCTTGGACTTGGGATGTAGCTCAGCAGGTGGGTTTATATCCAAAGCTAAAAATAGCTGGTGGCACATACCTTGAGGCAGAGGCAAGTAGATCTCAAGGCCAGCTGGGGCTACAGGAATACCTTAATTTTCAGCAAATAGAAGCCAGTCATATAAAAATGAGCATTAAATGGTTATTGCCTATGGATTGGGTAACAAGAATTCACACTTGGAATATGGTTACATGTGTAATGCACCTAGTGTTGAACTCATTACTACACATGCTAGATAAGTATACTAGTGACAATACGTTAAAGTAATTTGGGAACATTCAAACAGGCAGGCGTAATGGCATAGGTCTGAAATCCTGGGAGCTACACAGCTAAGTCTACCCTGTACAACCTAGAGAGAGACTTTTTGAAAGTAAAAACTGATAAGAGGGCTCCATGGTTAACATGTTAACCCAGCATGTAGACCAAAACAGTTTCTTTTCTTTTTTTTCTTTTGGATAATGATGATGATGAACCAGATTAGGTCTCATGTAGCTCACACTTCTAAAAGATGACATTGTCTCTACGCCCCCTCAGTGTTAGCGATTACCAGTCTGTCATACCCTGTTTATGCTACCCTGGTGATGGAACCCAGGGTATACTAGGCAAGCACCTCCAACTCAGCTACATCCCAGCTGTAGTGATTGGATTATGATTTCATTTCTATTTTTACAAATTCCTATATTTCATCTTTTTATTTTTGATGATTGTTTGAAGACAGGGTTTTATTGTATAACCTGTTTGGACTAAAACTCACTAGTACACCAGACTGTCCTTGAATTCCCACGTGCTGTGAAGAAAGACATGTGCCACCGTCCTCTAATTTTTTCAGTTTTGTCTCCTAGGTGCCATGGAAGAGCACTACCAATAATTTCTACAGCCTCATTTATGTGCTGTTGAATTGTGAAATTCCATCTGAGCATGACTATACATACCTGTAATAGTAACACTGATCCTGAGGCAGGAGGATTGCCACATGTTCAAGCTAGATTTTATACATACATTTATATATACATTATGAAAAATAAGCTGCTGAGGCATGGTGGTGTTGAGGTAGGCAGGACTGAGTGCACCACCATGCCCTTAATCCGAGCACTAGGGCAGAGGCCAGTTTTGGTTCTAGGCCAGCTGGGGCTACAGGGAGACCCTTTCTCATTTAGATATTTCAAGAGATAATATAATGAGTAATTTCTGTGCTTACTTTACAGAGAGACTTTAACAACAAACCAGTAAATGGCCCCAAGTCAGATTCCATGGAATACCGTAGCTGCGGTTATGGGGAAGAAGAACAAAGATTGAATTCAAACACATGTCCCCTTGAAAATGTAACAAAAAATGAAAGTATGACAGGCATCGAGGTGGAAAAGTGGGTGCCAAACAAGAAGACACACTTAGCGGATCAGGTCAAGGCAGACCTCCATGCAAATGTAAAAGAAGCTGAAAATTCACAGCCCTCTGAACATGACAAGGAACCAACCACACCTTCCCCCTTTGCACAGACTGTGAGAAATGGCATAAAAAATGCACATTGTTTACCAATTGACACAAATGTGCCACTCAACAAACTGAATCTTGAAGAATTTAGCAAGGTGCTGGGAAACCATTCCTTTAATTTCCTGAAAGGCCCTTCACACTGCAAGGAAGCCACAAGCACTGGTGCCACCGAAGGGGCCTTTGGTCACAACAAGAAGAGTGGTGACAATGGCCCTTTTCAGAAATCGGGGGCGAACTGCAAATCTGAATTCTCTGCTACCGTGCACAGCCATCCTAGTCCACACCATGAAGACAGTCAACCAAAAAACCCTGAGAAGGTCCCCAGTAGAGCACCAAAAGATGGATCTCCAGTTCAACCAAGTCTTCTATCCCTAATGAAAGACAGGAGACTCACCCTGGAGCAGGTAGTAGCCATAGAAGCCCTTACTCAACTCTCAGCAGCCCCATCAGAGAATTCCTCACCCGCTAAGTCAGAAAAGGATGAAGAAGACACAGATCAGAGAACAGCTAGTTTGCTCAACAGTTGCAAAGCTATCCTTTGTTCTGTGAGAAAAGACCTGCAGGAACCAAAGTTACAAGGAGAGACACAGACTTACTCTCTGTCTTTGGAAAAAAATCAAATTTCAAACAACACTGTCGTGTTCAATGGCCAGAACACTGTGTTGAAGTCACAGGTCAACACAGCTATTAACGCAGCACCTACGAAGCCACACGAACATTCAAAACTGAGAAAGCCAGTCTCTCTTGGAATACCAAAATCGAATTCATCTAAAGGGGATAGCAAAGAAAGCGTTGCTGAAGGTATCTCCTACCTTGATAGTTGTTCTCAGAATTCACATCAACTGATCCAAAGAAGTGATAATTTGGAATACTGCAACCAAGTACTGGACAGCAGTAAAAATTTGAATTCCCAGGATGATCTATCATGCCAGGATGCATCCTACAGTAAAATTGAAGAAGATGTTGCAGCGCAGTTAACCCAACTTGCATCCATAATTAAATGTAATAATTTAAAACCAGATGTTGGGAATGTTCAGAAAACACCAGCAAACCTTGTTTCAAAGAATATAGAGGAAAAACTTAGTCAGGAGAAAGGTGTAGCACAACAAAAACCATCTTCAAGTGTACATAAACACACACCAGTAGCCAAGCCAAAGACCCGTAAAAAGACAAGATCCACTCCACACAAAGATCGACGTACCAAGAAATCCTCACCCCTCAGCAGTCAAGAAAATGACCTGAGGATGCAAGAGCAGCTCTCACAGGAATATAGTAAGTTGCATGACATTTGGATAGCATCCAAATTTCAAAGATTTGGTCAATTTGTTCCACATGATTTTACTGTTTTGTTCAGAAAAAGACCTCCTTTTGACCAACCATTGAAACCAGTGGCTCAAAGTAGTACAAGCTTCCAACACAAAAAATTATTTCCTCCACTCAGTCAGATAACATTCAAGAGAAAACCTCAGTTGTTAAAGGTTGAACCTTCGGATTCTCTCCCAACATGGCAAGTCAAAACAGAATCCAGCGGGCCAGTGTTTACAGAACAAGCAGAACATTCTCAGGAACAGTCCACAGTGAATGCCAGTAAGAAAACTCATCCTTTATCCCAGCCCTGCTGTCCTTCTAACCAGTGTGCTAACGTGATGGTAGGTGCTGACCAAACACAGTTTCAGCAGGATGCTCAAGGGATACTGCCATTGTTACCTGGTACCTCTTCTGCGACCCCCTTGCCTGACCCAGCATCAGTACTCAAGAAACTCAATGTAATGCGTTCCAATGGAATTACAGTGGTTTCTGCCAAACGTAAAAGAGAAAGCGACAGGGACAGAGCACAGAAAGATTTTAATGATCACGCCATGAAGTACTTTACTAAGCCTGCAAAAAGACTGGTGGCTGCAGTGAAGGAGACAGACATTCCGCCTTGCAACTGCCTTGGTAAGCCTGTGTTTGTGCTGGATGTCATGCCCACAGAAACTTTGGATCCACCTTTTTTGTGTGTGTAATTTTTGTGCCCTTTCTATTTTTCTGTTTGATCTTCATTCATACTGCTCAAAAAATGGAGATTTCAATTTATGAATTGGGTAAATGGGTAAACATTTTCAAAAGGAAAATATGTTGACTTCTGACAGCCAAGTGTCTGAAGTAGTTTATTTCCATAGCCTAAGAATGAATTACTTCAATATTTCATTATATTTTTTCCTATATTCAAAATAACTTCAACCTGTATGTATGGGACATGCTTACAGATAATGTAAAATATGTATTACAGTATATTTAAGAGGATATCCATCATCTAGAGTAGTGAAATGGCTCTGTGGTTAAAGGCCCTTGCTGCCAAGCCTGATGACCTGAGCTCAATCCCCTGGACCCAGGTGGCGGAAGTAGAGAACCAACTCTAAGGTTGTCCTCTGACCTACACATGTGCATGTGTTCACTTATTTAAAAGATATTCGGTAACCTTGGTTACTTTTAAGAATTTGTTGGGCCAACAGTGGGCATGTGCTGAAGTCTTTTGCTCTGAGTTCCATCTTTCAAATCCACAGTGGAGAGAATAAACCCCCTGCAAAGTAGTCCTCTGACCTGTACATGTGCACAAAGCAAAATATTAATAAATTGCATACATAATTTTTTATTTTCCAAATACTGATTTCTTATTTAGAATGGTGTATGCTGGCATCAATGTTCTAGCACTTGGCAGACTCAGGCAGAAAGAGTGCCTTGATTTTTTTTTTTTTTTTTTTTAAAGGCCAACTTGGGCTTTATACTTAAAACAAAAAAAAAAAAAACAGGTCTGGAGGGATAACTCCAAGATCCCAGCACCCACATTTTTTGGAAAACAACCACCTGTAAATCCTGTTGCCCTCTTCTGGCGATTGCACTCACCTGGCAGGAAAACAAAACACAAAATTAAAAATAAATTAAATATTAAAATAAAAGACTGGCTGGACATAGTGATGCACACCTTTAATGAATACATTTGGAAGATATGGCAGGCCAGCCTGGTTTACATAGTGACTGGTCCTTTCCAACCAGGACACCAGCCTCAGCAGGTGGAATCATAGTAAAGGTTTTTCCTTGGCCCACGATATCCTGACAGGGCCCGGCTGCCAATGGCTGTCTGTGTAGACCTTCCACCCACTGTAGCACAGCGCTGCAGCTGGGGCCCAGGAACTCTGCTCAGTCTGCCTGAAGTTGGCAGGCAGAGAAGGCAGAGTGCTCCCTCTGTCAATCACCAGGCATTGCAATTTTTAGCAGGGGTATAACAGGGTTTCACTGTGTAGCCTACCTATGTCCTCAGAGATCCAGCTGCCTCTTAAGTGCTGGGATTAAGGGGCTGTGCCACAACGTCTGGCTGGGTGTGTGGTTTTCATTTTTTTCTGAATAAAAATTTTTCAGCTGCTCATGTAAAAGATTTTTAGGCATCCTTTTTGAGATATTTGCTCAGTATTAGAAATATGAAATTTGAGTTCTGAACTTTGTTCATATTTCATGTAAGGATTCAAGGAACTCGACTGATTAACATGGTGCTAATATAGGAAAATGACACAGCTTGCTAGGCTGCTTAAGTAGGTGTGTTTTTAGTACCTTGTTAAGTCATAGCAAGGTAGATGGAGATATAGGTCCTGCTATAGGGTAAAGCCCTGGGTTTGATGCTTGGCATTGCTTAAAACCTGGTTTAGGTGCTGGAGAGATAGCTCAGCAGTTAAGAGCAGTGGCTCTTCTTCAAAGGACCTGGGTTTGGGTCACAGAAACTACATGGCAGCCAACGATTATCCAATTCCAGTTCTAGGACATCCTATGCCCTCTTCTGGTCTCTATGGCATTGTGCACAGAGGTACATTCACATGCAGGCAAAACATTCATCACATAAAAAATTTATTTATTTATTTATTTTGTCTTCTTTTGAGACAGGGTCTCCCTGTAGCCCCCTCTGGCCTGGACTCACTATGTTGACCAGACTGGCCTTGAACTCACAGAGATCCGCCTTGCCTCTACGGGGATCAAAGGTGTGCACCACCATGCCCAGCTTAAAAAAAAATTGTTTTTTTTTTTTTAAATACAAAATAAGGAGCTAGAGAGATGGCTCAGCCATTAAGAGTACTTGCTGTTTTTCCTGAGGTCACGTTATATTGTACAGACTAACCTCTCCTGGGTTCAGGGTGGGTGACTAAATGTATGGTATAAGGCAGGGGTGGAGCATCCACACAGCCTTGTCTTTGTAATGTCTACCCTCAGTTGCTTCAAAGTTTTAATATTTATTAATATAATATTATATATTAGAATATTTTTACAAATGGAAAGAAGGTGCCCAGTTAAAAAATGTAACTACATTTCTGGGATAATCTAGATTTCCTAAGCATCCTGTTATTGAAAGTTAATTCAGAACTGATCTATATGTACTGTCACATGTCTTTTAATCATTATATGTGAGGTTTCCATATGTTTAAAAGACAGCAGCACTTGGGAGGCAGAGGCAGGCGGATCTCTGAGTTCAAGGCCAGCCTGGTCTACATAGTGAGTTCCAGGACAGCTGGGGCTACAGGGAGACCCTGTCTCAAAAAGACCAAAAAAAAAAGAGCAACAAAAAACTAAGTCACCCGAGTAACATCATAGCTGAGGGTCTTGCTTTCTTTCCTGGTACAGTGACCATTTCTGGACCTGTGCTCATCCTAATTAGTATTGTTATGTTAGAGTGTCCTGTGCCTTGCCTGATTTCAAAACATGGCTGGCCCCTCCTATTTGGTAGCCATATTATGTGCACATTCCTGCAGTCAAACAAAATACCTGCTGATGTTATTGCCTGAGTCTATGGATAAAATCACACCTGCTCTAGATTGGTGTGTCTTGCTTAAGAAGCCATGGAAGGGCTTGGGATGTTGTGCCTCAGTGGTATAAGGCTATAGATCCAATCCCCAGTTCTACTAAAACATATGTGTAAATATACTCCACAGTAGTTACTCTGCATTTTATTTGATGTCCATCCATAATGATCACTATATTGCCTACCATTTTCTTGCTTGCTTTTTATGCTACTATCGATTAAACGTAGGGCCTTATATGCCAGGGAAACGTACATCTGTGAGTTCCTGCACCATGCTAAAACAATGACTTTTTGGAGAAGATGTACTATGGCCAGAAATGCAGAAAATCATCAGCAACTTCAGGTCCAGGTGATTGCAGGAGAACAAAACTGGGCATGGTGATGTGGAGTTGAGACCAGTTTGGGGTACACAGCATGACTTTGTTTCTCTGAAGAAGAAATCTTGTTAGGCCAGGTGTGGTGGCACATGCCTTTAGTCTCAGCACTCTGGAGGCAGAGGCAGGTCGATCTTAGAGGGGACAGATAGGGCTGCATGGTGAGACCCTGCTTTTTCCCCTTCTTCCTCCTCCCAGAAAATTGCAATTTCTGGTGACTAAGTGAGGACTGCTTGCTGAACAGCTAGTGGTATATAGGGATATAGGGTCTTCTGTAGTTGAGGCTGGCTTCAAGCTTCCTATGAAGTACAGGCTGGACTAGATTATAGATGTGAACCTCTACACGATGACATTCCTTTTAAATGATCATAATGTTTTAATGTCTATTTTTTATTATATAGTTTACCCTTAATTTATCAGATCATTATAAAAAATCATTGAACAATAATAATTATAATAATTGTATAATAATAATTACATAATGGTAAGTGTAAATTTTTGTCAATGAAAGTTGCTAGGATAACTTTTTACTAGGATTTTGAGGCTGAGATTTACAGATCTTTTACTGTTTGATAATATTTAACTTGTACTGCAAGTATTCCAGAAAATTGCAAAGCAGGTGATGCCAGGTTTGGTTGCACACACTCATCATCCCAGCACTTGGTAGGCAGAGGCAGGCAGGCGAACCGGGAGTACACTGTCATCCTTGACGACAGAGTGAGTTGAGGCATGTCTGAGACCCTGTCTTAATAATATCAGAAGAGGTACAAGATAAGAACGTAAATTTGACACTTAAAGTCAGTCCTGTGTCTCCTCCCCAGGGCTAGGAAGAGATTAGGAGTTTAGCAAGTTTAATTCAGGTCCTATGTTCTTGACTGACCAAGAAAAAAATAACTCATCCAGAAATTGAGCAGAAAATCACATAAATAGCTCCTCCTTGCCCTTGTGCTATTTTGCAAAACTGGGTCTAATAATCTTATTCCTTCTACAGATCGAGGTACACAAAAAGACAAAGGCCCATATTATACACATCTTGGGGCAGGACCAAGTGTTGCTGCTGTCAGGGAACTCATGGAGACTAGGTGAGGAGATGCTCTTCCCTGTTAAGACCATTCTTCACTGTGGGCCCTACTCAATGCATAGAATAGATCCCTGGGAATGAACAGGAGGTTGCATGAAGACTTTCTGACTGTGAGTGGGCTATTAGGGCCCAATAAGAGGCTTGTCTTCCCAAGTCCCTCCTTATAGAAGCTGGTGAGACTCTAGGACAAGCCTAACTTGTCACTTTTCTCACTGTACAGTGGTGGAAATAGCTCACTACCATCCTTGGCTTGTTCAGGCAACAGAACTGAAAAACATAAAGTATTCTGCAAAACAGTGTAAATGATAACTATTCCATTTTCCAACCAATGTCATGTTTAACTTCCTTTTATATTTGAAAACCCAAGGTTTTAAGTGTAGATTGTAATTAGTGTGATTTCTCCACTTTTATACTTAGGTACGGCCAAAAAGGCAAGGCTGTAAGGATAGAAAAGATAGTGTATACGGGGAAAGAAGGCAAAAGTTCAGAGGGTTGTCCACTGGCTAAGTGGGTAAGTACTGTGTGCTTGTAGTTTTTATTTACTTTGCACTTACTATATTTTGAAAGTGGATTTATTCTAGTTGTTATATAGGGATATACAGGGTGTCCTTACCTGGGTTTTGCATTTTGGTTTTCCTTCAGAATGTTGTTTAAACACTAGTTTTGATCCCATGGCTGCTTTGGAATAGATGCTGCATGTTTACTATTCCAATCCATTTCCACTGTGGGTCTTAGCCATATGGTGATGCAGTGTAGAGCAGTAGATTTATATTCTCCCTCCCTGTATAAAGAAATTTTTCTTAAACCTAGAAGTCCAACACACTTTCCAATTTAACCCCTTGGTGGTTGCTTCTGTCAGTTTCCCATTAAGATGAGTAGGACTTCTAAATAGAGATGAGTATAGCTGAGTGTATGTAGATAAGTATGCCCTCCTCTTAATCCTGTGTAGGAGAGAGAGAGACTGAGACTCAGGCAAGCCAAATGAAATACAACTGAATGTTCAGGGGAAGAGTGCTCCCACACACATAAGTAAATTTAATTTTTGATCTGTTTTTATTACATGTGTATGATTAATAGAAAAAATACTCTTTCTGTACTATTGACTAAATAATTTTTTTATAGCTAAAAAATCTTCAAGGGGTTCAGCAGCAGCTGCTCTTAGAGAGGACCTAGCACCCACACAGCAGCTAGCAACCGTACCCAGCTCCAGTTCCAGGGAATGTCCAATGTTTGTGGGCATTGCACATATACACAGACACATACCCATAACACGTTATACAAATAAATTTAAAGTATTCAGGCCAGGGGTCTGCTGAAAAGGTGCCTAACTGAAATTTCAATTTGAGGTACAGGTTAAATAGAAGGAATAGAGAGAAATGAGCCAGGGGTTTGGCTGTCTGTCAGAGTGGGTAAGAGCACTCGCTGTGTAAGGATGAGAGCTGGTTTATTGCTTCCCCTTTTGCATGTTTGGTTGGTTGGTTAGATTTTTTTGGCTGTAACCACCGGTGGCCTGGAACTCATTATGTAGAACAGGCTGGCCATGATCTCACAGAGAACTGCCTGCCGCCCTGCCTTCCAGGTGCTGGAATTGAAGGCATGTTTCCCTTTTTGTAGATTTCTGAGACTGTTTTCTAGTTTTGTCAGGTTTCCCTGCAGTGGTCCTTTGCATTTCACATTATTAGTAGTCTTTGTCAGAGATTTTACTCTTTATCGCTTGGGTTTTGTGATGGAGTACCTACCATGTTTGGTAGATATGTATGCATGTGAGTGTCAGTGTGTTGTTTGTGTTTGTGATGCACATAGAGGTGCAGGAGCACCTACCTGTGTACATGTATGTGGAAAGCAAGGCATCTGACCTTTTTACAACAGATAGGGTTCAGTAATCATCCTGGAGCTTAGCTGGTTGTCAGCACGCTTCACAGATGCTCCGTTACCTCAATTCTGCTGCTCTGTGGTAGCAAGTATGTAAGGCCACATCAGTTTTTACGAGATAAAACAAGCGTTTTTACCCATCTGTCCAGTCCTGAGGGTGTTTTCCTTTGCTAATTTTAATTTTTAGTATGGCTGAGATTAGGGTGAGAGTATAAACCACAGTCATTGAATTATCTTGCTTAGGCTTGCCCATAATTTTTTGAGTTGTGTATGTATGTATGTGTACACGTGCCTGTATGCCTGTCTTCAAGACTCTTCTATTTTGTTCTTTTTTTTTGGGGGGTCTTTTTGAGGCAGGGTCTCCCTGTAGTCCCAGCTGTCCTGGAACTCACTATGTAGACCAGGCTGGCCTTGAACTCACAGAGATCCACCTGCCTCTGCCTCCCAAGTGCTGGGATTAAAGGCGTGCGCCACCACTCCTGGCTATTTTGCTCTTTTGAGACATGGTTCTGCACATTTTATGCCTTATCCTTCAGCTGTACCTTGGTGCTCATTATATCTTTGTCCAAAAAGGCACCTCCTTGCATATCACCATGGAAACAAAGTTTGTCTGTGTTATCTTCCTAATAGCCTTACTATGAATCAGCGAAAAATATTTAGCAAACAGACAAATTATGAAAGCCTGAGTATGAGAGTTCCTGTTAAACAGGAGTCAGATGTCAATCAGCCCCTTCTTTAAGTTTCCCAAAATATTCTTACACACAATGGAATACATTTCTCTTTTTTACATATATGTTAAAAATTGCCCAGCTAAGGGAGGCAGATCTCTGTGAGAGCAAGGCTGACCTGGTCTACATAGTGAATTACTGGCCATTTACCTTTGGTGCAGAGTCCATCACTTTGAGACAGTAACACTCACTATAGAATTCCTTTCTACACATAGCCTGTCAGTCGGGGTGAATACTCTAACTACTGGCATTTTACCCAGTGGGGTATGGGTCCCAATGCTTGTACTGATTAAGGTATGTCAACAGCCCCAAACTGTACAGTTGTAGGGGTTATGTGCTAACTTTTATTCATCTGCTTTTGGTCCCCATTACAACCAGACTGAGGAATTGGAGCAAGTGAGGAGAGGAGAGCTTGTGTTTTCAATTCTGACATGTACATGATATGGCTATAATTCACTGAGAACTTGGACCTACATTATATGAAGCTCAGGGTATGATCCTTAACATTGAAAGAAAAAAATAGATTTTTTTTCATATAGCCCCCCCCTTCCCCTTTAACTGTCTCTGTGTCTGAGCCATCTCTCCAGCCCCATGCCATTTTTTTTAGTGTGTAGGAGTGTATTGCCTGCATGTAAGTACTCCCTGTCATGTAATACCCACAGAGATCAGAAGAGGGTGTCAGATCTCCTGAAACTGGAGTCCTGGGTGGTTGTTAGCTGCCATGTGGGTGCTGGGAATAGAACCTGGGTCTTCTACAAGAGCAGTCAATGCTCTTAATTGCTGAGCCAACTCTCCAGTCCCCAGAACCAGGCCTTTTAAATTTTTTGTTTTATGAGTCACCTTTCCAGCCAAAGCCAGGCATTTCTACAGCTCTATTTTGTTGTTATTGGGGAGTTTTTTTGAGAGAGAGGATGTTTGATGAGGCCCTGTCTGGCCACAAGTACACCAGGCTTGCCTAAAACTCACTGATCTGTTTGTTTCTTCATCTCAACTGCTGAGTTGAAAGGCTTTGAGCTTCCACACCTGGCCACAGTATTTTTTTTCATCTTGTATGTTTAAGTCAAAGGGCAACCTGAGGGTCCCATTTGTCAAAGGTATCAGTCTTGGAGGTAGACTTTTTTTTTAACCACTGACTCATCTCTTCAGTCCTCCAACTTTGTATTATGAAATTTTGAAAAAAACAGGGCAATGCTGATGGACTCAAACTGTGCAGTTTCAAGATGAACTATAAAATAATCAAGACAGTGTGTTTACTCAATGCACCAGAAGAGTTGTTAAACCCTTACACTGACACTTACTTTTCAATAAGGATGCCAAAATACATTTAGGAGAAGAATAATAGTCTTTCCATTAAATATGAATGAGAGTTCTAGGCCAGCCAGGAGTAGAAAGTGAGACATTGTCTTGTATCACCCCACCCAACACCCCCCTAAAGGTTGTCTAGGAATTATAATAACATGTACACAAAGGAAATATGAAATAGATCTATAGGTGGCCAGAGAGATGGCTGGTTGCTCTTGCAAAGGACCTGGATTCAATTCACAGCCACCGAGAATATTACTGCAAATGAATGAGCAAGACTCAAAGAACACATTAGGATTCTACATAAAGTTAGCACTTAGCATTCACAGACTATTTCAGACTGAGGATTATCTATCTATTTGTCAAACAAATGCTATGTCATTGAGGGGAGGTCCCTCTCCTCCAAGGAAATTGGTTTAATAGTCAATTCTTTATTGCTGGAGCTGGACCTCAGGGTACTGTGTATGGAGGGTGAGTGTGCTTTACTGAGCCCCACCTCCAGCCACTCTGGCCAGGGAGTGTGCTAATGGGGTTTAGTGTCAAGAGTCAAAAATGTTTATGGGACTCAGTATTGTCTTTATGACATGCAAATCAGATCTTACTAATGTGAATATCTATGGAATGCTAAAAAGAAAAGGCTGTACAAGGTAGTGCCAGAATTCAGCAGACCAACATAGAGGGCCCTGAATTCTGGGTTGAACAGGTCTATGTAGCAAGACCATGCCTCTGAAGTAATGAAAAAGTAAAAGTAGGGGAGAATGGGCTTCAGAGATGGTTCAGAAGTTAAGAACACTGGCTGTTCTCATTGAGGAGCCAGGTTCAGTTCACCTCACCCAACTGGCTGCCTGTAAATGTCCATTAATTCAGTTCCAGGGGAGGAAGAATGGATTAGTCACTTGAGCCCTTTAGTAAAGATCTGCCTGGGCTGCATAGGAAGACATCTGACCAATGAGCTTACTGTGTCCACCTATAATCCTAGCCCTGAAGGTGGGGTGAGGGCAGTGAGCAAAGATGGAGAGTCCTAGTGACACTTAAAAATGTATTCTTCAAAGACATTGAGGCAGGATCTCAGCCTAAACTGGGTTGTGTCTGTGTAGCTGATGGTGTTCCTAAACTCCTTCTCCTACCTCCCAATGGTTCAGGTGCTCACTGTACTACAATGCTTTACATATTTTATATATTTATTTTTGGTCTTTTGAAACAGAGTCTCCCTGTAGCCCCAGCTTGCCTGGAACTCACAGAGATCCACCTTTCTAGCAGGCCTAGAACCTCACAGAGATCCACCTTTCTTAACCTCTCCAGTGCTGGGATTAAAGGCCTGAGGCACCACACTGGGCCTATTTATTTTTTGAGTCAGGTTTTCCTGCCTACTCAGTGTGAGATTAAAGGCATGCACCACCACACTTGGCCAAGGACAGTCTGGTATACATAGTGAGTTCCAGGCCAGCTGGGGCTACAAGGAGACCCTGTTTCAAAAAAAGACCAAAAAGAAAAAAAAAGCAATACGTGCTAACACCTCACTTTCCCCTCTTGCACTTTTTTGTTTTAAAGTGTGTGTGTGTGTGTGTGTATTTTCATTGTTCATTATGTAGCACTGTCCAGCCTGGATCTCCCTATATATGTCAGATGTCACCTGCCCAAGTTGCTTGGACCATAGTAAGATGGCTCATTGATACAGGAACTTGTTGCTATGTTGTGAGATCTAAAAGAGAGCCCCAACTCTTGAAAGGTGTCCTCTGTCCTCCACTCATGTTTATGGAAATAGCTATTCCATGAATCTGATTACTCTTTGTATTTCTTGATCTTCTATTGCTCAATTTCTGTTTTATCTTGAAGAAAATTAGGAAATTTTCCCAATGTCATAAATTTAAAGCACTTCCAGGACATTGTGACCCAAGCTTTAGTCCCCACATTCTGATGTGGGATACAGTCAGTTCAGTTGAGTCCTCTGAGCTCAGAATGGGTGACAATACCAAGAGCTGAGGAATTTAGTAAGGCATCTGCCCTTATGTGCTCATACTCCTACACAGATGCACATAGTTAAACTTAGGCATGCAAATTATTATCTTTTTTTTTTTTTGTCTTTTTGAAGCAGGGTCTTCCTGTAGCCCCAGCTGTCCTGGAACTCACTATGTAGACCAGGCTGGCCTAGAACTCACAGAGATCTGCCTGCCTGTGCCTCCCAAGTGCTGGGACTACAGGCATGCACCACCACGCCCCACTGCTCACTTGTATTTTTAAATACATTTTATTATTTTTATGCAGGTATATGAGTGTATTGCCTGCATGTGTATAAATGTATAGGTGCATCTGTGTGTGCAATGCCTGCAGAAGTCAGAAGAGGGCATCAGATCCCCTGAAACTGGAGTTTCTGGGAATCAAACCCCAATCCTCTGCAAGAGCAGCCAGTGCCCTTAACTGCTGAGCCATCTCTCCAGCCCCTCACTTGTTTTAAAGAATAAGGATAGAACAAATTTTAAAAATATTTTCTTTAAATTTTATGTGTATGAATGTGTTGCCTGCATGTATATAACTGCACCTATGTCATGCCCATGGAGGTCATTGGATCCCTGGAACTGGAGTTACAAACTGGCCATTTGGGTCCTCTGCAAGAGCAGCAAGAGTTCCTAACCTCTGAGCCATCTCTCCAGCCCCCATAGAACAAAATTTTCTTAAATATATTTATTATTTTATGTGTATGCGTATATTGCCTGCATGTAGGTAAGTGCACCGAGTCGTGCAATGCCCACAGAGTACAGAAGAGGCTATCTGATCCCCTGGAACTGGAGTTACGGACAGTTGTTAGCTGCCATGTGCATGCTGGGACTCAAACCCAGGTCTTCTGCAAGAACAATCAGTATTCTTAACCGCTGAGCCATCTCTCCAGCCCTTAGAACAAAATTTAAAAATAACCAACAGGGTATAGTGGACAGTTTTATATAGCATTATGTAGGCCAGATGGGGTTATATAGGAAGATCCTGAAGGGAAGTAGGAGGGAGAGGGAGGAAGGAAAGAGAAAGAAACGTGTTTGTTCAGGCAGGCTTTTGTGTTCTCTGAAGGAGTCTCTTCTCAAGGTGGGCATGAATTCATGCCCACGTGATCCCAGGACTTGAGTGATGGAAGGTGCATCCAGAGTTTTCTAGGTCATCCTCTACTTTACAATGAGTCTAAGGTCAAACCTGGGTTATATTCAGAGACCCTGCCTCAAAAAAAAAAAAAATACACACACATAGGATGCATATTGCATAGATGAATGCATTCTGCTTTTACAGGTTATAAGAAGAGGCAGTGAGGAAGAAAAAGTTGCTTGCTTGGTCCGGGAGCGCCCAGGCCACCACTGTCAGGCTGCTTGCATAGTGGTGCTCATCATGCTGTGGGATGGGATCCCACTCCCTATGGCTGACCGATTGTACACGGAGCTTACTGACAGTTTAAAGGCCTACAATGGTCATCCAACAGACCGAAGATGTGCCCTCAATGAAAAGTAATCAATTCTGTTTTGTATTGCTTTGAAATTCCAATCTCTGTTATATATTATAAGCTGTTAATGAACAGGACTTGGAGGACTTTAAGTAATGTGCAGCTAAAACAAACAACACAATGAGATGCTTCTTGATGTTATTTGTTTTTTCCTTTTTTGAGACAGGGTCTCACTATGTAGCCCATGCTGACCATCCCATGCCTCCCAAGTGCTCAGTTGAAAAGGGCTGTACCACCATGCTTACCTGGTGATTGATCTAGTGTCTTGCTCATACTAAGCAGTAATACATTTGCTGTGTAGCTATAGTGAAGACCCTATGATATTCTGATCCCCCCAATAGAAATAGCCTTTTATCAGGAATTTGAGGCCAACCAATGAATGCTTAAATGGGAATTTATATTCATTTTATAGGGAAATAGTGTTTGTGTAATTTTGCTTAGTAGTTTTTGTTTTAATTTTTGTGTTTTTGTGTATGTGTGTACTTATGGCCTGCGTGTATGTAAGTGCACCCGGGTCAGAGGAGGGAGTCAGGTTCCCTGGAACTTTAATTAGGGATGTTTTCACGTACCCTGTATCCAGGAATGGCCCTGAACTCCTGTCTCAGCCTCCTGAGTGCTGTGTGGCATTTTTTTCCTCAAGACTTTAATTAATTCCAGATCTCTTCTTTTTTCTCTTTGATCGTTTTTTTGAGACAGGGTCTCCTTGTAGCCCCAGCTGGCCTGGAACTCACTATGTAGACCACGTTGGCCTTGATCTCAGAGATCTATCTGCCTCTGCTTTAATCTCTGCTGAGATAAAGGCCAGCTCCATTTCTTTTCTAAAATTTCAGTTGAGAACTATATGCAAATTTTATTCTTATCTCTCAATTAATAACAACAAATTTCTATTTAATGAAATATAATGTAATCTATTCAAAATGTTTCATTTTGCTTGTCTTTCATAGCAATGAACTTTTCGAAGTGAAATGGCTATTTGTGGGCTCATTCAAGTCAGGTTTTGATTTATTAACCTTTATAGTAGATACCAAGTTCACCCTTATAAGAAACCTGAAGTTATTTGATCCCATTTTGGTGGGAGTCAGTGCATATAGCCCAGGATGGGCTCACACTTTCCCCTGCCTCAGTCTCCTGAGTAGTATACCACACCGTTCAGACTCCACTATGAATATCATTATAAAAGATACATGCTATATAAAAAGATGTTGATATTTTTCCCCCCTGACACATATAGATTAGTTTTTTGTTTTGCAAGTTCAATTTCCTTGTGCAATTTAATGTTTTAACTCCTTGGATGTCACTTCCATCTTGTTTTTCTTCCTATTCACATTAATGCTTAGGGGTTCATAGGCTATTTGAAATGATAAACTTTTTGCACTCACGTTAATTTTCTTAAGTAATCTTTCCTCCTTTCTGTTTTTCTTCAGTGTGTAACTGATAGGGATTTATAGTCCTACCTTAAGCCTCTCAAGTGCTAGGATTAACGTTTTTGCTTTGCTTTTCCGATTTTGCTGTTGGGATTTTTTTTGTTTTTAATGATTGGATTTTTCTGTGGGGTCGGTATTTGATTTTGCAGTAGCTGTAACATAACCTGTGCTGACCTCTACCTCACTAGGATACATGGTGTGTATATAAGTGGCATGGTGCTTACCTAGCTCTGTTTCAATCAGCACCAAAGGAAATAAATAAATCAATTGATTTTTTTTTTTTTTTTCCTTTACAAGCACCACCATTACTCGGTAGTGAGCAGCATCCCTGACCCTGTGATTTATTTTTTGTCATTTCATAAGTACAAGATCTTATTTGAATTAGGACCATTAAAAGAATGGATATCAAACCTGGAGAGGTGGCTCAGAGATCAAGAGCTCTGGTAACCTTGCAGAGGACCCAGGTTCGATTCCCAGCACACACATATGGCTAACAACCATCTATGACTCCGGGTCCCAGGGATCCAAAGCCTATACTTTCATTACTGGAGTACACCTACACACATGCAGGCAAAACAGTCATACACATAAAATACCTGAATGAGCTGGGCTTGGTGGCTCACGCCTTTAATCCCAACAGAGGCCAGCCTGGTCTGGTCTACATAGTGAGTTCCAGGACGGCTAGGGCTACAGGGAGACCGAAAAAAAAAAAAAAAAAAAAAAAAAAAAGAATGAATAAATTAATTAAATTAATTTTAAAAGTTAACGATAAAAATCCAGGATCTTAAATATATGCATTTTATTTTTCCACCTCAGGTATCTGGAAATCCATTATATTTTAATAGGTTGTTTGTTTGAACCCTAGCTGGCCTGGAATTCATTATAATGACTAGACTGGGGTGGAAATCAACAGAGATCAGCCTGTTGGGATTAAAGGCTACCATGACTGACTTTGGCCAGACATTCTATGAATATTCATCAAGAATGCATTCAGAGGCAGAGGTGTTGTGAGGCCACCCTGAGCTAGACAGTGAATGCAATACAAAAAGTAAAATGCTATTCCTTACCCACTTTATAGATTGTCATCTATAAAGTTGTATGACTCTGGAAATATTCTGCCTGACAACCTTTCGATTTCCTCTTCCAGTCGTACCTGTACATGTCAAGGCATTGACCCACAGACATGTGGAGCTTCTTTCTCCTTTGGCTGTTCCTGGAGCATGTATTTCAATGGCTGCAAATTTGGACGAAGCCCAAGCCCCAGAAGATTCAGAATTGACCCAAGCTCTCCCTCACATGTAAGTGTACTATTTCAATTGTCCTTTGATCCTCTCCTTCTGCTCCCCAACCATTGTTAAAAGAAAATAGAATTTTATTACCCCATCAGAGTAGAACAAACCCATTTGCCAACATTTCAAAGACTCAGAAAGTTTACTACCCACAGACCTACTATGAAAGAATTACTAGAGGACGTGTTCTAGATGGAAGAACCGTGAAACCAGAACGAATCTTTCCGGAGCACAAGGCGGTGGTGAGCAAAGAAATTAGTGAAATTTATTATTAAGTTTGAAAGTCTAAGTCCTTATTCTTACCAATTGGGAGTGGGGAAGCATTGGGAGGTTCTGTGGCTGGATAGAAATTTTTTTCTTTGGGTAAAGAGGATTTATAAATTAGCCAAAAATTGATGTTTTCCAAAATTGTAATTCACAGATTAATGTATTTTCAAAACAAAGTACTTAGCCTGATATAGTACAACTAATTTTTGGGTGAGGTAATCTCACCTGAGACAGGATCACCAAATACTTAAAAACAGGGAAAATGTGCTGGGCATGGTGGTGAACGCCTGTAGTCCCAGCATTTGGGAAGGCAGAGACAGGTGGATCTCTGAGTTCCAAGCCAGCCTGATTTACATGGTGAGTTTCAGTCCAGCTGGGGCTACGAGTAGATCCTGGGAAAATGCTAGATTTCAGCTACTATTCTGACTCAATTGCTAACCAATAAATCATTTTGAACATTTTGGAAAACATCACTATAAATATTATCAGCACACTTCTATATTTGAGAAAACACATGAACAACACTTTAGTTAAGGCAGTTGAACGTGAGATAAGTAGTGGGGTTATAGAACCTCACTAAAAGACACCAAATACCAGCAAACTGGACACAGTGCCATTCTCAACACACTGTAACCTGATGTCAGTGCTCCTTTAATGTTTGCATAAACACTCTGATTTATGATACTGGATTGTGCATAATAGAGGAGATCACAATATCATGTATTGAATTGACAGGGAAAATTTTCAATCACTATACTGGGGAAAAATAATTCTGCACTGAACCTTCTAAATTTTCTTCAGGTTATTAGAGGTTCTTAGCAAAGTTTCTACCAGCATTTGTTTTTTATGATTTGGTGCCTGTTCTTACAGAGCATCCACAGTTTGTTCCCAGCAGCCATCTAGGGCCTAGACCTCTATGTAGACCAGGTCTCTGGCTTCTTAGTGCTGGGATTAAAGATGTGCACCTGCAATCTATTTTGCACTTGTTAAGTAAGCATTCTACCCTAGAGCTACATTCCCCAGTTTCTACTTCTTCTGGAATTTAAGTTATTTCTTTTGGGTATTTTATTTACTTCAGGGTCAAGTGCTAGGATCAATCACAGGTATGCTTAGGGCAGGCAGGAACTTACCTATCTCATGCCCTGAATTCCATATTGTCTCACATTGCTAGCAGGAAGCTGGTTCAGTGTGTAAGGCTATTGCAAACACACCTATGCCTCTTATTCTGAGCATCATGTATAGTGATGAAGCATATATTTCATACCATATAGATTAGTACAATTTATATTTCAGTTTCTAGTAGCATGTTCTGCATCTATGATATCCAATGTATCTTGGTGAGTATACATTGTGCACCAGCCACCATCTTACTATTTGTAATGCACTTTCATACCTGAAACTCACTTTATATGCCATGTGGATTATCTTTTCCTATAGGAAAAAAAACTTGAAGAGAATTTACAGAGTTTGGCTACAGAATTAGCACCAATTTATAAGCAGTTTGCTCCAGTTGCTTACCAAAATCAGGTATGTTTTGGAACCTTAACGTCCACATTAATATGTTCCATTCAAACCTGAAGTCAGAGCCCTCCTCCCTCTACCCCATTGGTTATGCTGGGTGCCAGGCTTAATGTGAGTGCTAGGATCCCATCCTCATGATTGCACAGCAAGCATTCTTAGCCACTGAGTCATCTCTCCAGTCCCCACTCATCTTCAATAAGTATGCTTCCTCACTGGATATATCTTTCAAAGTGAGCTAGTGGGTCTTTTTTTTTTTTTCAGATAGTCTCATGTTTTCCAATTGGCCTGGAACTCCCTTTAATCCCATAAGGTACTTGAGTTCCACGTGCTTTTGCCTCCATGTTTGATTTAGAATGCTTGGCTAGTATGTTCACAGCCCCTGATTGGGTTTCTGCCACTGCCTAACATAATATTATGGGGAACAGAAATAACTGGGAGACCAGCCTGGACGTGACAGCTAAAATTGTTCTCATAACTCCAATTCCAGGGACTCCAACACCTTCTTCTGGCCACCATGCCCAGTGTGTATATTCTTATACCTGCTGGAAAGATGACTACCAGTGGTTAAGAGCACTGACTTTTCAGAGGACATGGGTTAGATTCCGAGCACCTACATGGCAGGTAACAACCATCCAGAACTCCAGTTCCAGGGAATATGACCTCTTCTTACTTCATGGGTACTGTACAACATGGTGCACTGATACACATACAGGCAATACAGTCAAACATATTTTTTTGGTTTTTTTCTTGGGGTGGGGCTCTTTTTGAGACAGAGTCTCCCTGTAGCCCCAGGTGGCCTGGACTGCACTATGTAGACCAGGCTGGCCTTGAACTCACAGAGATCTACCTGCCTGTGCCTCCTGGAGTGATGGAATTAAAGTCCTGAGTTTCTAATCACATTTGACAGGAAGCACCTTTAATCACAGCCATTTCACCTGCCCTTAATGAATTCTTATTGGTCCTTGTTTCTACTGAATACAGGAAGTTTTACTGCATGGTTTCTCCAAGTTTATATTTTGTCAAACAATGCCTTCCCAGAAAAGAGCACTTGATGTACTTTCAAATGAACCAAGTTGTATTTACAGAGCCCTTGTTGGGCAGGACACACACACACACACACACACACACACACACACAACTCCAGTTGATCTGATAACCTCTTTTGGCCTTTGAGGAGTCTGCATGCATGTGCACATGCCAGGCACACACAGACATAATCAAAATAATAAAAAAATGGATCCTGTCTGGTTAACAAGGTACCTGAGTAGCTAAAGGGACATCTGCAAGCCTGGCACCATGTGTTTGATTCCCAGAACCCACATGATGGGCAGAGAAACTTACTCAGGAACATGCTTCTTGACCTCCACATACACTACACTACACACACACACACACACACACACACACACACAGACTATTTTTAAGACAACTGTTAAGTTAATCTAGATGGCTCTGTCATCTGGAACACTAGCTCCAGGACGTCCAATGCCCTCTTCTGGCCTCCTCAGGCCCACACAGACATATACAATGCTCTTTGTAAGTAAGTTTTGCCTTCATATCTTTTTTTTTTTAAGGTGGAATATGAACATGTTGCCCGAGAATGTCGCCTTGGTATGAAAGAAGGCCGTCCTTTCTCTGGGGTCACTGCCTGTTTGGACTTCTGTGCCCATCCTCACAGGGACATTCACAACATGAACAACGGAAGCACTGTGGTATGTGCTCAAGCAGCTCTCCTTTCTGCTTCCTCTCCAGCTTTTCCTTAAATATCATTGTGGTAATGAAAAGTGATGTAAGTGCTTCATGTGTGCACAATGTGTCCACAGTCGCTAGAAGAGATTGGAGTTCCTGACAGTTGTGAGTTGTCATGTGGGTGCTGGACATATCTTGTATCATTTTTCTTGTGTATCTTTTTCTTTTATATTATTATTATTATGGTCTTTTGAGACAGGATCTCCCTATAGCCCCAGCTGGCCTGGAACTCCATTTAGAACAGGCTGGCCTCAAACTCACAAATCAGCTTCCCTCTGCCTCCCTAGTGCTGAGACTAAAGGCACCACCACACCTAGCTCTTT